TCAAGTGGGATTTATTCCTGGGGTACAAGGTTGGTTCAATATCCTCAAATCAACTAATATGATACACCACATACACAAAATGAAAGATAAATATCCTATGATCATATCAATAGATGCAGAAAAAGCATTTAACAAAATCCAGCATCTATTTATTATAAAAACTCTCAGCAAAGTGGGAATAGAGGGAACATACTTCAACCTAATAAAGGTCATATATGACAAACCTACAGCTAACATCATACTCAAAGGGGAAAAGCTAAAAGCATTCTCCTTAAGATCAGGAACAAGACAAGGATGCCCACTTTCACCACTTTTATTCAACATAGTACTGGAAGTCCTGGCCACAGCAATCAGACAAGAAAAAGAGATAAAAGACATCCCAATTGGAAAGGAAGAAGTAAAACTGTTATTATTGCAAATAACATTATACTATATAGAGAGAATCCTAAAGATTCCACCGAAAAACTATTATAACTGATAAATGAATTCAGTAAAGTAGCAGGATACAAAATTAATATTAAGAAATCAGTTGCGTTTTTATACACCAATAACAAACTATCAGAAAGAGAAATCTCATTTACAATTGCATTAAAAAGAATAAAAATACCTAGGGATAAATTTAACCAAAGCAGTAAAAGACTCATACTCAGAAAAATAGAAGACACTGAAGAAAGAAATTGAAAAAGATAGAAATAAATGAAACCATACAAGTGTACTGTGCTCACGGATAGGAAGAATTAACATGTTAAAATGTCCATACTGCCCAAAGCAATGTACAGGTTTAATGCAATCACTATTAAAATACCAATGGGATTTTTCACAGAACTAGGACAAATTATCCTAAAATTTATACAAAACCACAAAAGACCCTGGATAGTTACAGAAATCTCAAGAAAGAAGGACAATGTTGGAGTGATTATGCTACCTGATACCAAACTATACTACAAGGCTATAGTAGTCAAAACAGCATGGTATTGGCATAAAAACAGACACATAAATCAATGGAATAGAATAGAGCTCAGAAATAAATCCTCACCTATATGGTCATTTAATCTACGACAAAGGAGGCAAGAACATACAGTAGGGTAAAGACAGTCTATTCAATAAATGGTGTTGGGAAAACTGGAGAGGTGCATGCAAAAAAATGAAACTGGACCACCTTTTTACACCATACATAAGAATAACTCAAAATGGATTAAAGACTTAAATATAAGACCTGAAACCATAAAACTCCTAGAAAAAAACATAGGAAGCAAATTCTCAGCTATTACCCTTAGTAATATTTTTACTGCTATATCTCCTTGGAAAAGGGAACCAAAAGAAAAAATAAACACTTTGAGGGGTAAAAAGTATAACTATTGCACTGTGTTGTACAGCTGAAACAAATTTTTAAAAAATGTTTATTTCACAATAATAAATAAAAATAAATAAATAAATAGAAAAAAGTGATAAAATAAAATAAAATAAAAAATAAACAAATGGGACTACATCAAACTAAAAAGGTTTTGCACAGCAAAGGAGATCATCAAAAAACAAATACATACGATAAGGGGTTAATATCCAAAATTTGTAAAGAACTATTACAACACAACACCAAAAAAAACAAATAATCCAACCAAAAAATGATAAGAGGACCTCAATAGACATTTCTCCAAAGAGGACATACAGATGGCCAATAGACATATGAAAAAGGTGCTCAACATCACTAATCATCAGGGGTATGCAAATCAAAATCACAATGAGATACTACCTCACACCTGTCAGAATGGCTATCATCAATAAATCAACAAACAAGAAGTGTTGGTGAGGATGTGGAGAAAAGAGGCCCCTCATGCACTCTTGGTGGGATTACAAATTGGTGCAGCCATTGTGAAAAACGTGTGGAGTTTCCTCAAAAAATTAATTACAATTCAGCAATTTCACTTCTGGGTATTTATTTAAAGAAATCCAAAACACTAATTTGAAAAGATATATGCACCCCTACATTCACTGCCACACTAAATTCACAATAGCCAAGATATGAAAGCAACCTATGTGCTCATCAATAGATGACTGGATAAAGAAGTGTATACATATACGGGTATACAATGGAATATTACTCAGCCATAAAAATAAATGAAATGTTACCATTTGCTACACAGATAAATCTAGAGGGTATTATGCTAAGTGAAATAAGTCAGACTGAGAAAGACAAATATCATACTATCTCACTTATATGTGGAATCTAAAGAACAAAAATAAATGAACGAACAAAACAGAAACAGATTCATAGATACAGAGACTAAAGTGATAGTTGCCAGAGGGGAGGGGCATTGGGGGTTAAGTGAAAAATGTGAAGGGATTAAAAAACACATATTGGTAGTTACGAAATCATCACAGGGATGTAAAGTGTAGCATAAGGAATATAGTCAATAATATTGCACAAGTATGTAGAGTGCCAGGTGGGTATTAGACTAATGGAGCACTGCATAAATTATATAAATGTCTAGTCACTATGCGGCACACCTGAAACTAATATAAAATAATGTTGAATGTCACCTGTAACTGAAATAAATAAATAAATAAATACATAAATACATAAAGTAATCAATTAAAGTTACAGATGCCAATAGGAGCCATCTCAGCGGTGTTTATTATGGAAATAATGTTTGAAGCCAATAATTCATTCTGCAAAATTTTGCCAACTTGAGGAACATTTCTCATGCAGTAAAATTACTGATGCAATTACTGGTATGATTTTAAGCAGTAATTTTATACTACTCAAAGAGATAGGTAGGACCATTCTTTGACACTTTCATCTAAGGTATTCGCTTATCAGGGGCTGTTAATATCCAAGCATTAATAACTGAATTTTGTGCATACATGTGTATTGAGAGATTCTTGAAATGTTTAATGAATTGTTACATTAAAGATAAATATGCAGGAGATGTGATGCGATTCTAAGTTCTTCCTTGACTTTACAGAACAAACCTTTCATGCTTTTTTTTCATCTGTGGCTCAAAAAACTTGGCTATAATTTTTATTGCTAGCATAAACTTTGGTAGAAATAAATTCTAGTTTAGTCTTATTTTTTGACAGAATTAAGGATAGTGGTGTAAAAGTAGAAATCCTATTGCAAAGTTGGGCATATGATAAATGCTTGGTGTAGAATTAGCCTCTGGTCTTTCGCAGAATGTAAAAGCATTTATGAGGCTGTACAAGAGTATCCAGAGAAAAGATTTATTGAAAGTCAAAAAGAGAGAGAAAGAGTTCTGTTTGGAACTGGCACAGGTTTAGCCCGGGCAGTCTGAGAGGGAGAACTGCGGAGACAGAGGGGTAAGAGAGAGATACTGGCAGGAATTGTGCCAGGGCAGAGTCTGATGGGGGACAGCTGCCCTCATGAGGAGTGCTGCGGTTTTATATTTTTCCAAGCAGGATGTAGGGTGTTTGTCAGTTTGCAGGAGATCTGCTGTCACAATTGTCTTCTTCCGGGAACTGTCCTGTTCCCATCTATGATGGATGTCAGCTTGCAGGGGGCTGCTGTTGTGATTGGGAACGGTCGTGTTCCCATCTATGATGGGTGATTGTTAGTGTGCAGGAGGTTGCCTTTGCAATTGGGAACTGTTCTGTTCCTGCCTATGATGGATGTAAGGTGCTTGTCAGCTTGTAGGTGCAGCGCTGGCCAGGGGAGTCAGAGCCAAGTGGTTAATGTTTAAGCTCCTTCCTGTTAGCCCACAAGCTCGCTCCTGTTAACTCTTTGTCCCTCCCATCCTGGCAGCTCACAAGCCCACTCTCATTAACTCTTTACTTGTCTCATCAATAAAGTTTAGCTGAAATAGAGAATCCTAATTACTTAAAAATATTAAGACTAGAGATATGAACTCATAATTTTAAATATATAAAGATAGATATAGACATAGATATAAATTTGTGTGGAGAAATAAAATCATGCCTCTATTTCCTATCTCTGTCTGCTGAGAGGACTTAGAAGCAGTGACAGACCAGTAACAATGAGTATACACAGCATTAAGATCTTAGTTTTCAGGCCGGCCGAGTGGTGCATTGGTTAAGAGCTGGCTTGGGATGCCAGAGGACCCCAGTTCGGATCCCACATATGAGAGCCAGTGACACTGCCCTCTACAGCTAAGATGCTGAACAACATCTCAACCTGGAGCTGGACTGCCATGAGTCGCAAGCTGCAGCCTCTGTGGCAGTGTGTTGCCATGGGCTACCGTGTGTAGCCAGCAGCCAGCGTGAGTGGCCAGCAGCCGCCGTGAGCGGCCGTCCAGAAGCTGGAAACTGATCTGCCTCGCCAGGGAAGAGCGCAATGATGGTGCCAACTTTTTATTATGACTGTTTATTAAATGTTTTATTCAGTTATATTCACATAAAATTAACAATCTAGAATTCAAATGTTCTCTAAACCATATTCTAAAATACAGCTCTCAAGCATGATATGGTAATAGTTGCATATGTGGTCAGTTAATATTTTTCTTAAATCCTCATATATGGGTATTTCCTAAATGTTCATCTCTTTTGAAAAAAAAAATCAGACAATGAGAATATATATCATATTCCCCTCTGCATTTCTCTGCTGCTAGGAAACAGTGCTCTACTGTAGTAACTACATTTATTAGGTAAACGTATATTCTTTTTATCATTATATGACAAGATCTTTTTTATCTTCATTTTATGGAAGTGAATGTAGTATATTTCAATATACTATATATTCAATGGTGAATTAAATCTCTTTTATTTAACTTACCAACCTATGGAATGTACTAAACTGACTGCACATATGCTAATATTTATTATGCTATGAAAGTATCAGAACCTACACTACTGCATTAGTACAGGATTACATGAAGAGAAGGTAGAAACTATTTTATTGTAAAGTACTTCAAATATTGCCTACAGATTATATGTAATGAATTATTTTGATAATGATATTAACTTCATCTGAATTTTTAAGTAGATGATGATTCAGGTCTTACTATAGTAATATATAAAGAGAAATATACCTCATGCAGACAAATGAAAGCTGGAGTTGTAGATAAATCAACGAACCGCTCATCTTGGATGTTAATTGTGGGTGCTATGGCATAAATGGGGTCTTTTTTATCCTTTTCATCTTTCTCCTCTTCCTCTTCTTGTTCAGTGTCTGTGGTGCTGTCTTCCATTTTTCACAATTCTAAAATAAAATCATTCCATATTTAGCTACTTAGGGATGTCTTCACTTATAATGTAAAATGAATGGAAAATAATAAAAGTAAGTAAAACTCAACTGATGGAAGCTATCTCCAGTGAAACTATAGGTCAGGAAGCTTAGCTATAATCACACTATTATAAACACCTGCTTTGTTATAAAGATACTCTCCATTGTTACGCTCAAATCAATATTCAAATTTTTAAAAGTAGGCTATTATTGCATTAATTGGAAATTATACATATATTACTAGAATGTAAGCTCCATAAGGATGGAAACCTAATTTTGTCTACTGAGCACTGTAGTAGGCACTCAATTACCATTCACTGATGGGTAAATATAACTTTCACCTTTAAAATGCAACACAAAGTTAATTCAAATTATTTTTGGTAAATAAAAAAAAAAATTTTGGTACCCCAAACTGCCTGAGGCAGGCACCTGCACACCAGGTCACCAAGGTGTTTCTCAGTACCCCTCTGACCCACACTGGTGTGCACTGCCGTGTGGCCCAACTCTGTGGCTCACGAGCATGCTCAGTTGTTCCGCCAGACTTCACTTACAAAGCATAAGCTCAGAAATAAAATGATTACAAATTTCAAGATGGCAACACCAGAGCATTAAACTAAATGCAAGACCCTTCTGAGGGCAGATCCTTATGTGGTTGTACAAGTCACAAACCTATGAAGCCAGCCCTGTGTACTGACCTTTGGTTTGCTCATGTATTCAAGTGGATCCAGAGAATTTATAAAAGGGCCCCTGTGTTGGCCTGCAAGGTCTCTTTTGACCCATTTTGGTGGCACTGGGATGGCCGCCCTTTTTTTGTAAAAGAGAATGTCAATTTAATCATCAGCTCTTTTGATCTCTGAAATATATGAATCTACATACAACAGAAGAATATACCTGAATTCTTCTCTCATCAAAGAAGATAACTCCAACTGTCATAATTTTAAGGTCTGGATTTTCTTTTGAACGTGTATTATGTCTTATATATACCTTATCACATTAGCTGCTCCTTGATTGTAGGAATCCCTGCTTTTTTTAATATAGAAAGCATGTTCTATAATATGAATTCAGAAGTCATGTAGGCTCTGGTTCCTGAATTTATTAGTCAAGTGGCCACAGGCATGTCATTTATTCAGCAACTCTCTTTCTTCCTCTCTAAAATGGGAACTAATTTTTCTGCTTCATAAAGAATATATGCAGATTAAATGTGATATTGCCTCTGCTGAACTGATAGCTTCCACTCTGCTATCTCTAGCTATAAATTATATACGCACTTGTTTTTTCCCTCCTGCTACAAAAATACTTCATAGAGGGTGGCATGTACTTCTATCAGGAGGCACTAAATGTCAGGCTGTCTTTATGCGATATTAATAGACATTGATATCATTTGGACTGTCCCTCCTTTAACACAAATATATTGTTTTCAATGACATAAAGTCGTTTTTAAAAAGAACCTATTATTAAGGCATTACACAACACTTTAGTCACAGTTTATTGCTTAAGTCTTCAGGGAGAAGAAAATGGTTTGGTTATATATCTAGATTTGTTGTGTTTAATAAGCTAAAATTTGTATGTTCAATCATTTCATGGATATCAAATGTTAATGACTATCCCAAAAAAATGTTTCCTCCAAAATGTTAGACCATACCTGTTATTTTTAGCTTTTTCTTTAAAAAATATTTCAAATATAAACAAAAGTAGCACAATAGTATAATGAATCCTCAAGTACTCATCAACCAGCTTCAACAAATATTAATTCATAAGCAATTTTGTTTTATCTAAACCATTCTACTTCTCCTCTTCACTCTCTTTATCATTTTGAAGCAAAAGCTAGGTACTTAGACATATTAATATATCCTGAAGAACTCCATAATAATGTATAGAAATAGTTGTCATTCTATTTCACTGCATAGCACTGTTTTGCATAGAAACACCACAAGTTATTCAAACAACCCCCAATTTATAAACATATGGAATGTTTCCAGTTTTCTGTTTTTATACTTTTGCAAAGTATACTACACGTATTTATTTAAAAATATTTTTTAAAAGATTCTTGGAATCTTTATAATAAAGATGGCATTAGCTTTGAAAACTTCAGTTCAGGCAATTTTCTCAAAGTATTGCACCTTTAAATATAGTACAATTTACATAGGCAACAAAAGACAGGTATTATGCTGAATCTGTACAAATTCGTCAGCCAGCTGAAGCTTTCAATTTCTATTATCTTGAAAACATTCTAAACATTTTAAAGCAGGTAAAACATTTTACATAGGGAAGCAACTAAAAGACACTAATGACAGAGTTCTAATAGACATCAGACAAACTAACACTTAAGAAGAAAAAAAGGAGAATGAATAGGAAAGCAAAGAAACACAACAGAGGCACATACAAAAGTGTCATGTGAATTAAAACCTAAAACACTAATTAATCTAATTAAATAATAGATTAGAAATGGCTTAAGTACAATAGATACCAAAGTTTAACAGATAAAACAAATATTCAAGTATTCATTAATAAAGGATTTCAAAGCCCATTGTATTAATATTACCATGCTGCAGGCAATATGATTGAGCTATAAACAAAACAATGGAATAAAATATATTCTCAGTCTACAGGATATAAACAAAATAATATTTATAAAACATCTTAAATTAGTGGTGTAGGAAGAACTACATAGTTATCAAGTATAGTAATTCTACAGATTATCTCTTCATAATATCTAAATCAATTAAACAACTATTAATTGAATTTTATGACGACAAAGAGTTTACAAAGATGCGCGTGACTTACAGTCTAAAGAGGAAGCAAGGCAGGGAAATAGCTCTATATCAGACAAGGTAAGGTAAAATAAGCCTAAATAAAAAGCAATGTTCTTAGGAAGGTAGACAAGGTTTAAAAAGCAGTTTTTAGCCTGGAATTTAGATTTTAATCAGTAATTATTGGGAGCAACTATATTTTTTGCAGAGGACGTATCTGAGTTTGTAAAGATGTTGGTGACCATGAGAAGAATGGTCTGAAAAGAGTGTGAGGCAAGGAAGAAAGCAGATAATTAGATGCTTTGTGCCAGCCACCGTGCTATGATTAGGAAATAGATTCAGTGGTGAGCAAAACCAGACAAGGTCCCTGACCTCAGGGGGACTCACAGACTGCGAGCAAGACAGAAATTAACCAAAGAATCATGAGGTAAATGTCAACAAACACGTATGTATAACTGAAGCGAGTACTATGAAAGGCTGGGCTGCAGTGCAGGGTTGCCATGCACTGCACACTCAGGCAGGCACCATTCACACAGCAAATTCTGCAGGGAAGCAGCCCCGATGGCAAGGTTAGATGATGAGAGCCTGAGCCCAGGCAGTGCCATCCATGCTGCAGGAGCCCAAAGACGAGGGGACATGGTTCTGTGAGGCTTTCTAGAAAGAACAGGACATGCACTGAGCTTTGACACGGAAAAGCAAAAGGCCAGGGAAGGAGAAAGGAAGGTAAATAAAGCTTTAGTCCTATTACAGAAGAACACTGAACTCCTTTATTATTCACACCTCATCTCGTGGTTAAAAGATAAAGCCAAAATAGGAAGCTTCACAAAGAAATATTAAGCAATTAGCATTGCAGGCTCTGCCTTGTTTTGTAACACCACTGCTTCCTCTTCTTTCAAGCTAAAGAGGTGACCATCATTTTGTTTTGATTTTGAACTCTTAAGGAAATTTTTCTTGACAGCTACAAGGAGTACATGCCAAACCCAAATACCCCATGCACCAGGGCATGGGGCAGAATCCACAAACGATGTGAACTTTGAAAGTAAAATGGCAGTGCTCGCTTCAAGAAAGATGTAACCAGCAACCACGCTGTCTTTTTTTTTTTTTTTTTTTTTTTTTTTTAAGATTTTTATTGTGGTATTGGGGGGAAGGGAACAGTGCTGGGGAATTGGGGGAAAGGGAACAGACAAATTGCTGTCATTTTGTTCTTCAGTCTAGTTGTGGAGGACGTTGCTTCACTGGCCCAAGTTGGCACCGTCATTGTGCGCTTCCTGGGCGAGGCACATCAGTCGCTGGCTTCTGGACGGCCGCTCACTGCGGCTGCTGGCCGCTCACGCTGGCTACATACGGTAGCCCATGGCAACCCACTGCCACAGGGGCTGCAGCCTATACCGTCGCCGGCGACTCTTGGCAGCCCAGCTCCAGGTTGAGCTGTTGTTCAGCATCTTAGCTGAAGAGGGCAGTGTCACTGGCCCTCATATGTGGGATCCGAACCGGGGCCCTCTGGCATCCCAAGCCAGTTCTTAACCATCGCGCCACTCGGCCGGCCCACAACCACGCTGTCTTTTGATATTACTTTGTCACGGAACAAGCACAAGTTTTGCTCACTTTAGAAAAGTAGGGAGTAATGTAAATTCAAACATGACATTTCTCTCATAGTCCCACACAGAGTCTGAGCATACTTTTTCAAAATTTAGCTCTTCTAACTGCCCTGGAAACACGAACACATGCTCCTTTCTCCCACTGCCCATTGCTACAGGTTAGTTACATGACTATTTCTACAGTAACTCAGAGCCAGACCTCTTGGAGAAAGAAAGAAGTCTGGGACACCAATTTGTTTGTTTGTTTGTTTCAGTTCCCTCTATTTACTAAAAAAAATAGATATGTCAAAACAGGGTTATAAAATTGTGATATATTTAAAGTTGTATGACAAGTTCCTCTCGATCCTGTCAGTGTATCATATATATATTCTCTTTTGGAGATAATGTAGAAAGTCTACAGTAAAGGCTTTTTGTGATAGGCCTCTGGTCCACGATATGAGAGGCTTAGAATGCTGGGCAGCCAATTCGACAAGCAGCCTACAGTTACCTCAGATCCATTTAATCCAACAACATCATCGTCAGATCCTACCAACTTGGCAGTCCTGAATGCAATTATTGCACTTACTCATGTCTAGATCTTTTATTCTATGCCGTATTATGTAATACCCATTATTACTATACAAAGACA